AAAATCGTGTGAGTCTACCGTTAGCTACATCAACTGATTTTTAACGGTGTTAGTTTTATATGACTAACATCAAAGTTTCCCTAAGAAAGATGACTAAAATGTATCTTACTTTGAAAGAGGAACTAAACCCAAAATCGCTTGATAATATAGAGACTAAAAACATATTTAACCCATTATATTATAATCAATATAATTCAAAAAAACCACAATCATATTTATCCTACATGGAATAATAAGATTATTTTTAATTATTGAAAATCTCGATATACATTTAAATTTATATATATAAAAGTAATAGAAGGAAAAGGAATAAGTAGTTAAAAATTAAATATATGAACAAAAACCAAAAATAAATAAATAAGAATCCAGATTTATAATATAAGAAGTGTATTATATATATAGATATTTATTTTATTCTAGCTAAAATTTATACTTGATTAAAAATATTTTTAAAATATTCACATCTTTCATTGGTTTTATTTCGTCATCGTATATCTATAATTGTATACACTATGTATGAATTTTTAATCTTTTTACACAGTCTCTCTCTACATATATATTTGGGTTTTTGTTTACTTGTTTGATTTCAATTATACACACAAGGGAGAGTAATTTGAGAATTAATAAGAATGCCGAGTGTTGTAATGTTGTTTATTTGATTAAAATTTATACAAATATTCTTAAAATAGTAACATGTTTCATAAATATATTAAAATCCATTGGAGAACAACAATAATAGAGAATACGTTTAAAAAGAAAACAATCAGAACAAATGTGTTTGTGAGAGACAGAGAAAAAGAAAGAAAAAACATAACCTAATGTCTAACCTTTATTTAATTGATTTTTAATTATCTTGTATTCAGATTGAGTAAAAATCTAAAAACTCTAATAAATATAGTCTAGCTCACATAATAATAAATTTTTACCTAGATACGATTTTCAATATTTTCGAGAAAAGTAAAAATACTGAGATTTAAAATATATTTTTCTAACTAGATTAAATAGTTAGTGTAAATAAATATAGTAAAAAGTACATCCCTAAAAACGACAATAGATTAAATGATAAAATATATGATAATAATAAGGTATAATTTTAAATGTTCCATAAAAAATAAAAGTATCTCTGACTGACTTCGAAATTTCCATTAGAGATATTTTCACACAAAAGCATTTTTGAAAAAGTAAGCATGTTTATTTCAATTAAGAAAATTACAAAACTTTAAAAACACGATTTATCAGACAATAATCACACACAACATCAATGTAATAAGTGATTATTCAATATTTTTTCACATAATAGTTAAGCAATAAAAATATTTAACTGATAATGTCAGTGGGTTGAACGTCAAACTCACTCCAAGCCCAAAACCTATTAATTTTGTCTGGTATTTCGTTGTACACCTCATTTTTTCTTCCTGTACCCCTAAAATCATATATTCTTATTTACCCCTAATAAGCACACTTGTCTCCATTGAAAAATATGCTATTAAACTTGACCCAAATAATAATCAGGTGTCATAGTACATGATTATATTAATATTTTCTGTAGTAATTTTTTTCCTAATTATATAATAAATTAGTAGACAAGGCAATGCAATTGGTAGTCGATTCACATCATTAGTCTGCCTGACAAATAACAGGATACTCTGAAACCTTTTTATATAATGAAATAGAATAAAATTTTATAGAAGATATTTGTGCTAAGAAAGTACGGTTCTTTTTATTTAGGAAAATCACACTTCAACAATCATTTTTGACAACATTTAGACACGCGTACACGTGTCAAAATCTGAATGGTCCAGTTGGAAAAATTAAATGAAAATGGACCACTCAGATTTTGACACGTGTGCGCGTGTCTAAATGTTGTCAAAAATAGTTGTTCAAGTATCATTTTCCTTTTATTTATTTTCACTTCTATCACTTTTTTTCTCTGGGAAAAGAGAAAGGAATCAGATTCTGTTGCTTGATGTATCATCCGTTCAACCAAAAACTGGGGACCCCATTTATTGATGAATGATGAATTATCAATTGAATTTTCTATAATAATTTTTCTATTTTAACAAGGAAAAAATATTTTAAAAATTGTTTAAAAAACTTATTTTAATTCTAAACAAATTTTCATTATTTAAAGATATGTTATTTTGAATTAATTTGTTTTGTGACCGAAGATCCTTGTCTTGTAAATCAAGTTGGCGGTGAGAAGGGTACTAGGTGGGTCTTCCTAATCCATTGAAGATAAATTATTAAAGTCAATCTTATCTAAAATAACCCTTATTGTACAGATTAATATATATTCTTCAACTCTGAACAAGGAAGCTGCAAAGTTCTCTCCTTTGGAGTACAGTCAATTGGGTGAGAGAATGGAAGCCTCAGAGCAGAACAAATCAAGGGTGGTGGTAATTGATTCTTTGCAGTCATGGGATTTCTATGTCACCCAGGCCACTACTCAGAATTCTCCTGTAAGATACTCATTATTTTTCAAAATTTGATCTTTTAATTTTTGTTTTTATCGTCTGGAAAGAGTGAGCAAAAGGGTATTTGGGGTTCAAGTTAATTACAAAGTTCACTTTGGTTTTTGGATTTTGATTTTCTAAGTTTGTTTTAATTTGGATTGCTGGCTTTCTTTATTGTTCACCTGGTGGATAGAAAACAAGAGTATTATAATTTACTTATGGCTTTATGTATTTTGTGGAATTGATCGACATAGGTTGTTGCTCACTTCACTGCTTCATGGTGCATACCCTCGGTGACTATGGGTCCTGTCTTTGATGATCTGGCTTCAAGCTATCCGGATCTTCTGTTTCTCACAGTTGATGTTGATGAAGTCAAGGTAAACTCCCTCCTCCCCTTTAACCTGATCCTTGTCGGCCTTGCATTCCTTTTTAAATGTTTCAATAACAGATAACAGTTCATGCAAATAAGATAGGAAGAAATTGGAGAACGAACCTTGTATAAGACGAGTTGTTATAAAAAGAAAAAAGGTTAAATGGTATGTCTTAGTTAATTACTACTTTCTGTTTTTGGTACGTTTTTATGCATGTATGGATGTGATGTGGGATGTAATCTCTTTTGAGATTGATATCAAGAATTTTCTGATCAGTTTGAATTGAAGTATTTATGAGCATTCCTCTCCAATCACACTCACTAAAGAAATGCAAAAAATGCTTGACAACCACCACATCCAAGAATTTCTTCATTTGGTAGGTCAGCATCATGGATCAAATGATGCCGTAATGTTGGGATTTTATTTTTCCATGTTATATTCTTAAATGGATAATCGTTGGTTGGGATAGAGCAGTAAATGGAGGAACGTGTTCAAGGTTAGTATAATTTAGGGACCGCCATGTGATTCTTGTAAAATGTTTGTTGAATGGGGTTGTTTAACTTCAAGTAAAAACGGAGTCAACCAATCCTGTAGAATATGATTGCTGCTATTAAGAAAATTGTGCCATCATTAATGTACATAATGAATTGTACCAATAATCTTGTACGGGGATGTTTAACCTCATTATTGGTTGGAGCAAGTTGACAACAACTTATTGAATAGTATAATGTATGTAATATGCATTAGGAATCCAAGTATGTTTAAAGTTCCTCAACGAGTAAACATGAAAAAGTTGAGTGACACACAAGAAAAAAAAAACTACAAACATAGAGTCATAAAGTTTTATGTTGCGGGTGGTAGGTTTTTTATACGAGAAATTCATATCTTTGGTAAAAAAATTCCCAACAATATGCATCCTAAAAAATTTGTCTAGTACCATGTGTATCAGGAATATGGTTCAACAATTGGTTTTGTTAATGAGCATTGTGTGCTTTTAGCTTTTAGCTTCAGCTTCGTGTAGGATAAAAAAGAGTAGAACTCTACCTGCCTTGTACGTTCTATTTGCTCCCGTAATCCTTAAGATATTGATTACTGACATGGATTTAAAGCACTGTTTTACATTTGGGGTTTTTCTACTCAACAAAGAACTATATATATATATATATATATATATATATATATATATATATTCTGCTGATCAAAATGAACCTATGTATGTTGGTAATTGACTGATTAGATATCATAACATACTTTTTGCGATATCATATTATGCTTGGAGCATTGAAACAAAAAGTGAAGTGATGTGTGATTTTCTCTAATGGTTTTGTTATTGTTTGATTATGGTAATTAAATACATTGAATTTGTTTGTGGGGGTCAGGAAGTGGCCACCAAAATGGATGTAAAGGCAATGCCAACATTTTTGCTGCTGAATAACGGTGCTGTTGTGGACAAGGTAGTTGGTGCGAATCCAGAAGAGATAAAGAAAAGGATAGATGGGCTTGCTCAGTCCACTCGTGTCTCACTGGCATAGTTAACATCTGTGTGATATTCTATATTCTGCTGTTGCAAGTTGCTAAATATGCACTTGTGGTCCTGCACTGCCCGATGGAACCCCGAGTCAAAGCCTTTCGTGATGTTGTATTTTGAGTACCAGTTCAAATATAGTTTGGTTAATGCTTATATCCGCAGCTTTTTTGTATCAGCCAAATTTTACATTCTGTACTTCCGGTTGTTGTGGTTTCATGCTGCTCTTCCCTTGGATGTTGTGAATTCACTTGTTCTTTTGCTAATGAAATATACATATGAATATTTTCAAGGTATTCTTTGTGTGAAATTGCGACTTAATCGTTGAGTGGGTAGGATTATCTTTAAAACTGTTAAATCACAATCTTTAGTTTATACACAAAAGTTATGTTGCTTAGTTTATATTAGTATATTTTTTAACCCGTTTTTAGTCAATATAATCTAAGATTATAGACTAAATTAAAATGTAAGTGTATGTGTAGTCACAGATTAAAGACTGTACGCGTGAGATTTGAGAGACTAAAATAAGCTGATTCTGTAATATAAGGATCAAAAGAACATGAACTAGAACTTGTTTGCAAACGAGCCAATTTCTTGCAAAATAAACTTACTTCCACCGAGTATGCTATGTTTGAATGGTGATATGAATTTGATGTAAGCTGTCCATGTTTGTTGGTCCTAATTGATGTATTGATATTAAGCTAAAAATTGTGATTTCAAAACTAAACAGTTATTTTGAGTCATTGCTTGAATTTTATGTTTCGAAAGGAAGTGTAAAGTTGGTAATTCCTTTGATGTTTTTATGTGGGGCCAGTGAAATTGGAAGGCCCCGGTACATATTATTTTGCATATTTTTGAGGGAAATATATATAAAATAAAAGAGAATGTGAGTTTGTGGTGGGAAGTGATAGTTGGATGGGCATTGATGTCCCAATGTGAGTCTCTCGTATCAAACACCATCTTCTTCCATATATTTTTGTTTTCTCTGTATACAGAAAATCGTTCGTCACATCTTTATTTGTTCCTAACTCCGGCAACCCTTTTGGGTGGAGATGAGTAACAGTGATTGGGTGTTGGATTATGATTATCTAGACAGCATTTCTTTCCCCACTCTACACCCACCCAAATTCTCTTGGTCTTCTTCCTCTCCTCCTCCCACCTTCAGGTTACTCCATACTTCAACCATTTATGCTTCTCTTTTCTATCTACAACTTTTTTGCAAAGGCTGCACTTGCTTTGCACATTTACACCACTGCCTACATTACAATTGTATCAGTCCTTTTTTGAAGGAACATAAACATGTACTTATGTTTTTCTATCTGTTGTAGATGATACATTTGCCTCTTCATTTTGTCATTGTCTTTTTTTGCTCATAACAATGGATAATGTGGACGACATTTTACATATTTTTACTTAACTTTCTGTTTTGTAATTATTTTTATTTTTAAAGTTATTTAAAAATTTCATCCCAAACACAAGTGAGTTTTTAATGGTCATTTTTGCAGTGCGGACGTAGATGACCCATTGGGAATTTCGGATGGTTTCAAGGAAAACGGGTCAAAGAAACGGTATGCTATTTAAGATAAGAATTTTTAATGACTTTGATTTAAATCATTTTTTTGGCTTCTTCGGACAGTTGCTTTTATTTTTATATTATACCATTAACTTGTTTGGTTATTGCATGCTACATTTGCTCTTGGTTTTTATATCAGTGTGATTACCCAAAACTTATATGAAAAACTTGTGTTTTTATATGCTTAATTTTTAAAGAAGCATGGCTTTTGAAATCGACCCTACTTGATATTAATACATTTTTGTGATAATTTACAGACCTTTCTATTTTTAAATGTTTACACAGTTAACATTTATGAAATTCTTTAGTTACTAACAATTTTTTCGTTTATAATTATGTGAACATTTTTAAATTTTAAATAAACTTTGAAAATATAAATAAAATGAAGACATATAAAGGAAAAATATCATCCTGATGAAAGCATTTTATTTTTATATATTTTTCTCAATAATAATAATAAAATAAGGAATTATAACTTTCCAAAATTGATTTTGAGTGTTTGTATAATTGAATTCTTTTAATTAAAATTATTCATGTTTGGACAGTAAGTTTGTTCTAAAATTTAGTTTAAATTTTTCACTTCCATACCTAAAAATTATCTTTTATTATTTCTATTTAAACTGAGATTTTGGAACAAAACCAATTTATATGGGTTAACAAGCAAACATCTATATCTTTATAAAATCGAATTTTCTTACTGTCAAAATCAATTCTGATTATTCTTAGCATCAAACCAAACACAATTGTCTGTTCCTTATATATGTTTCTTAAATCATCTTATTAGTTTGTCTTTAAAATCTTATTACAGTCTGAGGTCACCTAGTTCCAAAGCATGTAAAGAGAAAATGAGAAGGGATAGACTCAATGACAGGCATCTCTACTACTATACTTTTTTTTTTCATTCATGGTCCTCTTATTTTGTATGTTTCTTGTTTGATCTATATCTCTGATGTGACTTTTTCTGAACACTGTTTAAAGGTTTTTGGAACTGGGGTCTGTCCTGGACCCTGCAAGGCCTCTCAAAATGGAAAAGGCTGTTATATTAAGTGATGCAGTTCGAATGGTGTCTCAGTTACGAGAGGAAGCTCAGAAGCTACGAGAGTCCATTAAGAATCTACAAGGGAAAATCAATGAACTGAAGGTGTGTAAATGTAACTGCATAACATGGTATTTCATACTTAGCATGCACATTTACTTGATAAATGCTAGCAACACTGTTTGTCTGATTCTATCACATTCTTTTTAACACACATTTGTTTAACATGATGGTTAATCTTACCTATGACTATATACTTTTGGTGTTTGTATAGGCTGAGAAGAATGAGCTTCGTGAGGAGAAGCAGCAACTAAAAGCAGAAAAAGATAACCTTGAGCAGAAGATTGAGGCCTTTAAGTCACAACCTAGCTTTCTTTCTGCAGTTCCTGCACCAGGACAAGTTGTTGGTAGAAAGTTGGTGCCCTTCATGGGCTACCCAGGAGTTGCCATGTGGCAGTTTTTACCACCTGCTGCTGTTGACACCTCACAGGACCATGTACTCCGGCCACCGGTTGCATAACTCGTCAAAGACACTTTTTTTGGAGAAACGGAATTTATCTTCACTTTTTGTGCTATTGCTTTTGCATTTGTGAAATGTAGAAGAAAAAGTCTTACTGATTATAGAGGCAACTTTATGATAACTAACCAACCAGCTTTCGGTGAATGCTTTGTTTAAATAAGTTCTCTTTAAAAGATGAACATAAAGGTTTAAAATGAATTAAATCTTTTTAATCAACTTATGTACTCTAACTACTATAAAAATATGTTTGCACCGGTGATTTTGTCTAGGATCCTACAGAACTGTTTCTAACAAGTTAGAGAGGAGAGAAATTATCCATTCCATTGATCTTAGAATGAGAAAGTATTCAATTAAAATCCTGAGAGCAGTAGCTATACAAATAAGGATTCAACAAACTCAAGTAATTTTAACAGAAATAGGTCATTCTTGATAACTACGCAATTAAGAAATTGCTTTTAACAGGGTAGTTTGAACCCCATATATTCCCCTGATTTACAGTCTTTCCAAAACTTTATGGCTCCAAAATTAGAACATTACTTGGAAACGTCACTAAAGGTAGACTTGAAGTCCATTTATTAGCCGTATTCACCGGTTACTTTACTTTGTATTGATTTATAGTCTTTCCAAAACCTGTTATTGGTTGTAGAGGCTAGATTTTGATAACTTTTCTGGGATTCTTTCATTTGGATCTTGAATAGTTAATGACCTCTTCAATTTTTTTATTCCCTTTTGGATAGTATTCGGCCATATTTTGGTCAGAAAGATGCAACGAACTAGGCATCTTTCAATTCATAGGAAGTTTTGATATGTTATTTCGCGTGCATACAAATAAGAATACCATAAAGTTGAAGCATGTCCCGAATTCTAACATTTCTTATGAATACCCTAGCAATAAGCATGTGGTCATACAAAATAAGGATTTGGATCCTCTCTCGTTACTTTGTCAAGTAGCACATTTGTCTTTCTCAGTCTTGAAATAGAAGGTCCAAGGTTATTCTCGATTCATGACTACCTATGATATTGATGACATGAAAGGATTCACAAACTGGTCTAACAAAACTGTTTTCAACAGGGTAGTTTGAACCCCATATATTCCCGTGATTCATAGTCTGTCCAAACCTTTATGGCTCCGAAGCTAGTCATTAGAACATTACTCACAAACATCACTACACTAACAGAGAAAACTATTATAGAGGCTCTTCCATACTTCCTAATTACTCTCTGAACCACTAATAACCCAAGAAGTGATGCAACAAAACACATTATGGCCAAGATTAGTGCAGCTTCTACATGTTCCATTCCCAGCAGCAGATATTGCAATGCTGACATGGTAGCAGAAAAGAGAACCATGAAAGAACATGTTGCTGCTGTTACCTACACACAAAAATTGCGTGATAAATACTAGTAACTAGTTTACTTGACAGTGTAAACGACATCCAACAAAGCTTGTGAACTTACCTCAGGTTTTATTCCAACCTGAAGAAGAAGTGGACTAATCAGCATTCCACCACCAATTCCAAAGACACCACCCAATATCCCTGCTAATAGTGCCATTGACGGAAAAAGAAGTATATTTGATGGTCTATTTTTGGTGATTGCTGTCACCTTCACATCAGTTATCTGTAAGCAGAATGAAGATGAAAGAGTGTGTAAGTGAAGATTAGTAAAGAAAAAACTACTTTTTCAAGGTATGCTGCTTAAGAACCTCTTGCATAGGAGTTCGGTCTCTAAGGCTTTCTTTTCTAAATACAATCCAAGCAGTGAAAACCACAGCAAGAGGTATTTGAACCGATGACAGAATCCAGTATCCCACACCGCATGGCTCCATTTCAATGACTCCCTGCATAGTTTGAACAACTGATTATGTTTGCATTAAGAAAATATTATTACAATTCAATTAAAGCACACACTAAATAAAAGTTTTCTTTTAATATAATTCAATCATAATTGTCATGTGATTGACAATTATGAATTTTATAGTCATTATAAGTAAAACCACAGTGTCGGCTCTTCCATCATGGAAGGGACCATAAAACTAAAAATAGCACATAAGAAGACTAAACTTTTACTCGGTAAGCTTGGTGAGATACTTCTTCTGTGCCTAACAACACCTTTATAAGTGCGAGTTTAAGAAATTTATTATTTTATTAAAAAGTTATAATGAAAACAAGCAGTCTTCGAGCTACCCAATTTAGCAGATAAATAAATAATCCGAGTTTAATAGTTCTTACAATTTGTAAATATATCAAAATATCATCAATTAATATTTTTTATTAATAACTAAAAATATTTATTTTACTCTTGCAAACTTTAGAATCAGTGAAGAAAAAAGAAAGACACTTCACCTGTCCATATCTGTTGCCACGGAGAAGATAGACAGAGAAAAAAGAGAACCAGATCAAAAGTAAGACCATCAATTTCAACCAAGGGATCCTCACTTTCCTATTTCCTTGAGAAGACAGAAGAGGAACAGGCACCTCAACATCTTTTGGTTCATTATTTTCTTTGTACACATGTCCTACTGCTAACACTTTCCTTTCTTCAACAGTCTCGTTTTCTAGCAGCCCCTTCTCAAGTTCGTCAACTCCAATTTTCTTTATCTGATCCGATTCAGACTTCCAAAGCATCAACCCACTTCTGCAAGTTTTTGACGTAGACCATGCAAGAAAGATGGCAAACAGTACTGTGATCAACCACTCTGGGAATACAAGGTTACAAACAACTCCAAGACTCACTCCCAACAACATGCATGGTTCTGACGAAAGAGCTATGTCATAGTCAATCAATGACTTGCCACNAAAAATATTCATGTTTGGACAGTAAGTTTGTTCTAAAATTTAGTTTAAATTTTTCACTTCCATACCTAAAAATTATCTTTTATTATTTCTACTTAAACTGAGATTTTGGAACAAAACCAATTTATATGGGTTAACAAGCAAACATCTATATCTTTATAAAATCGAATTTTCTTACTGTCAAAATCAATTCTGATTATTCTTAGCATCAAACCAAACACAATTGTCTGTTCCTTATATATGTTTCTTAAATCATCTTATTAGTTTGTCTTTAAAATCTTATTACAGTCTGAGGTCACCTGGTTCAAAAGCATGTAAAGAGAAAATGAGAAGGGATAGACTCAATGACAGGCATCTCTACTACTACACTTTTTTTTTTCATTCATGGTCCTCTTATTTTGTATGTTTCTTGTTTGATCTATATCTCTGATGTGACTTTTTCTGAACACTGTTTAAAGGTTTTTGGAACTGGGGTCTGTCCTGGACCCTGCAAGGCCTCTCAAAATGGAAAAGGCTGTTATATTAAGTGATGCAGTTCGAACGGTGTCTCAGTTACGAGAGGAAGCTCAGAAGCTACGAGAGTCCATTAAGAATCTACAAGGGAAAATCAATGAACTGAAGGTGTGTAAATGTAACTGCATAACATGGTATTTCATACTTAGCATGCACATTTACTTGATAAATGCTAGCAACACTGTTTGTCTGATTCTATCACATTCTTTTTAACACACATTTGTTTAACATGATGGTTAATCTTACCTATGACTATATACTTTTGGTGTTTGTATAGGCTGAGAAGAATGAGCTTCGTGAGGAGAAGCAGCAACTAAAAGCAGAAAAAGATAACCTTGAGCAGAAGATTGAGGCCTTTAAGTCACAACCTAGCTTTCTTTCTGCAGTTCCTGCACCAGGACAAGTTGTTGGTAGAAAGTTGGTGCCCTTCATGGGCTACCCAGGAGTTGCCATGTGGCAGTTTTTACCACCTGCTGCTGTTGACACCTCACAGGACCATGTACTCCGGCCACCGGTTGCATAACTCGTCAAAGACACTTTTTTTGGAGAAACGGAATTTATCTTCACTTTTTGTGCTATTGCTTTTGCATTTGTGAAATGTAGAAGAAAAAGTCTTACTGATTATAGAGGCAACTTTATGATAACTAACCAACCAGCTTTCGGTGAATGCTTTGTTTAAATAAGTTCTCTTTAAAAGATGAACATAAAGGTTTAAAATGAATTAAATCTTTTTAATCAACTTATGTACTCTAACTACTATAAAAATATGTTTGCACCGGTGATTTTGTCTAGGATCCTACAGAACTGTTTCTAACAAGTTAGAGAGGAGAGAAATTATCCATTCCATTGATCTTAGAATGAGAAAGTATTCAATTAAAATCCTGAGAGCAGTAGCTATACAAATAAGGATTCAACAAACTCAAGTAATTTTAACAGAAATAGGTCATTCTTGATAACTACGCAATTAAGAAATTGCTTTTAACAGGGTAGTTTGAACCCCATATATTCCCCTGATTTACAGTCTTTCCAAAACTTTATGGCTCCAAAATTAGAACATTACTTGGAAACGTCACTAAAGGTAGACTTGAAGTCCATTTATTAGCCGTATTCACCGGTTACTTTACTTTGTATTGATTTATAGTCTTTCCAAAACCTGTTATTGGTTGTAGAGGCTAGATTTTGATAACTTTTCTGGGATTCTTTCATTTGGATCTTGAATAGTTAATGACCTCTTCAATTTTTTTATTCCCTTTTGGATAGTATTCGGCCATATTTTGGTCAGAAAGATGCAACGAACTAGGCATCTTTCAATTCATAGGAAGTTTTGATATGTTATTTCGCGTGCATACAAATAAGAATACCATAAAGTTGAAGCATGTCCCGAATTCTAACATTTCTTATGAATACCCTAGCAATAAGCATGTGGTCATACAAAATAAGGATTTGGATCCTCTCTCGTTACTTTGTCAAGTAGCACATTTGTCTTTCTCAGTCTTGAAATAGAAGGTCCAAGGTTATTCTCGATTCATGACTACCTATGATATTGATGACATGAAAGGATTCACAAACTGGTCTAACAAAACTGTTTTCAACAGGGTAGTTTGAACCCCATATATTCCCGTGATTCATAGTCTGTCCAAACCTTTATGGCTCCGAAGCTAGTCATTAGAACATTACTCACAAACATCACTACACTAACAGAGAAAACTATTATAGAGGCTCTTCCATACTTCCTAATTACTCTCTGAACCACTAATAACCCAAGAAGTGATGCAACAAAACACATTATGGCCAAGATTAGTGCAGCTTCTACATGTTCCATTCCCAGCAGCAGATATTGCAATGCTGACATGGTAGCAGAAAAGAGAACCATGAAAGAACATGTTGCTGCTGTTACCTACACACAAAAATTGCGTGATAAATACTAGTAACTAGTTTACTTGACAGTGTAAACGACATCCAACAAAGCTTGTGAACTTACCTCAGGTTTTATTCCAACCTGAAGAAGAAGTGGACTAATCAGCATTCCACCACCAATTCCAAAGACACCACCCAATATCCCTGCTAATAGTGCCATTGACGGAAAAAGAAGTATATTTGATGGTCTATTTTTGGTGATTGCTGTCACCTTCACATCAGTTATCTGTAAGCAGAATGAAGATGAAAGAGTGTGTAAGTGAAGATTAGTAAAGAAAAAACTACTTTTTCAAGGTATGCTGCTTAAGAACCTCTTGCATAGGAGTTCGGTCTCTAAGGCTTTCTTTTCTAAATACAATCCAAGCAGTGAAAACCACAGCAAGAGGTATTTGAACCGATGACAGAATCCAGTATCCCACACCGCATGGCTCCATTTCAATGACTCCCTGCATAGTTTGAACAACTGATTATGTTTGCATTAAGAAAATATTATTACAATTCAATTAAAGCACACACTAAATAAAAGTTTTCTTTTAATATAATTCAATCATAATTGTCATGTGATTGACAATTATGAATTTTATAGTCATTATAAGTAAAACTACTGTGTCGGCTCTTCCATCATGGAAGGGACCATAAAACTAAAAATAGCACATAAGAAGACTAAACTTTTACTCGGTAAGCTTGGTGAGATACTTCTTCTGTGCCTAACAACACCTTTATAAGTGCGAGTTTAAGAAATTTATTATTTTATTAAAAAGTTATAATGAAAACAAGCAGTCTTCGAGCTACCCAATTTAGCAGATAAATAAATAATCCGAGTTTAATAGTTCTTACAATTTGTAAATATATCAAAATATCATCAATTAATATTTTTTATTAATAACTAAAAATATTTATTTTACTCTTGCAAACTTTAGAATCAGTGAAGAAAAAAGAAAGACACTTCACCTGTCCATATCTGTTGCCACGGAGAAGATAGACAGAGAAAAAAGAGAACCAGATCAAAAGTAAGACCATCAATTTCAACCAAGGGATCCTCACTTTCCTATTTCCTTGAGAAGACAGAAGAGGAACAGGCACCTCAACATCTTTTGGTTCATTATTTTCTTTGTACACATGTCCTACTGCTAACACTTTCCTTTCTTCAACAGTCTCGTTTTCTAGCAGCCCCTTCTCAAGTTCGTCAACTCCAATTTTCTTTATCTGATCCGATTCAGACTTCCAAAGCATCAACCCACTTCTGCAAGTTTTTGACGTAGACCATGCAAGAAAGATGGCAAACAGTACTGTGATCAACCACTCTGGGAATACAAGGTTACAAATAACTCCAAGACTCACTCCCAACAACATGCATGGTTCTGACGAAAGAGCTATGTCATAGTCAATCAATGACTTGCCACCAAATTTAAGACTTGTGATGCACATGTTGCACATAACGTTTGCAATTGACCCTCCTGTTACCATGAAAGCTGAGAGACTTGAAGCAGTTTTCAGGTCTAAACCAGCTACAATAGATAATATAGGTATAAACAGACCACCCCCACCTATTCCACCGGCACTAGATATAGCTGAGGCTATGAAGCACAGAACTCCAGCCAGTACCAAAGGGCCTGAAATAAGTATCTGGGATTGTGCTTCACCTCCCCACAGATAAATTTTATCCAGAAAATTATCAATATTGATTGAAAAAGGTTGTTCTTGTTTTGCATTTGAAGGATTGAAGGCAATGAAGCTGAGAACTAGAAATATTAATCTTCGAGGACTCATTTGATGAGAGTTTGTTTCAGCTATGGTGAGTACTGATGGATTTATCTGTGCTTAGCTGAATGACTTAATGACATTATATAGAGACAAGCATGAACTGTGTTAACAATGCTTATGCGAGACATTTATTTTTGTATTCTAAAGCTATACTTATTTTCTCATTCAAGAGAGAAAAGTAGACAATTAATTAAACGTGATTTATTGTTGAAATAATAACATGAAAGTAGTGTAATAACAGTGGTATATAAGTATAACATTGTTAGTAACATCAGTGCGACAGTGAAACACACAAAAAGAGTGTGAGGAAAGGACAAGATTTTAATTTAAAGTAGTGCTAATGCAGCAAAGCAAACAACAAATAATTTAAATTGGATACTTAGGATAAAGCTCTCATTTTTTTAATGCAAAAGACAAAGCTCTTTATAGTTAGTCATACATGTAAATAATAAACTGATACACGTTTTGGTACAGTAGTTACAATTATTTTCTTCGTGAGAGTTCATATTGCCTGTAATCCATCTACTATTTTTGGTTCCTACCAGCACCACTTTCTGTGGTCGTGCTTACAACATTAAGTTTTTCATATGAAGATTATTATAGAACAAAAGTATTTTATAATAAGTGTGGTTGGGTGGATTGAATCCTTAAACCAGTGGGGGAAACAAAACACACTTACCGGATGATGTCTCCATGGCTGGATTGCAGATAAAATATTATGCAAAGTATTCAAACTTCTATCTTTATATATGGGCTATATATATATATATATATATATATATATATATATATATATATATATATATATATATCCCTTTCAA